TTCCTCCTTCTCCACCAGCTTCTCCCCTCCTCCTACTTCACCACCTTCTCCCTTCTCCCCCTCCTCCTTCTCCACTCCTCCTTCTCCACCACCTTCTCCCTTCTCCCCTTCCTCATTCTCCACCAGCTTCTCCCCCTGCTTCTCCACCAGTTTCTCTCCTCTTCCTTCTCCACCACCTCACCATGCTTCACACTTCTGCACGTGAGATTGCTTTGCGATACAGCTGATTGGTTAACACAAACCACGTGACAAAATATGCAAATTATCTCCTGTACCGGCCTGAATATAGACAACCCCAACTTTTCATCGTGCAACTGATGCCGTGGGCGATACTATTCGCGAGAAGGGGACGGAAATACTGAGCGGAAGGGAGTGAGATCTCTCTCTTTCTCTCACTCGCTGTCTGTCTGTCTCTCTCTCTCTAACACACAATATTTTCTCTTCACGTACGCACGCACGCACGCACGCACGCACGCACGCACGCACGCACGCACACACACACACACACATACAAAGTGACACACACGCACACTCTCTCTCGGGGGCTATATATGTATATACGTATATATATATATATATATATATGGGAATATAATCTGATAGGATATAGATTAAAGTACCATATAAATAGATAGACATATTAGATATTAATAGATAGAAATTTATAAAATACCAGACATTGAATGAAAAGGTATTATTATTTTTGTGGGTTTTTCGTGATGGTTGATTCTATGTGGCACATTATTTCAAGGACAAAGGACAAAATTCAAGGACTTTCAACGGCTGTGGGGAGTATTAATTTACGGCTGTATCAATTCCTGGTGAGATGATTGTTGTTTCGATAAGTTGATATGATCGGTTGTCGGTGCGTCATGTGCCAGATGAAGAGCTATTACTGTTGCTATTGAAAGCGGGTGATGAATCGAAACAATCTACTTATCCTGCTGTACTCCATTAAAACATTAATTTGTTGTACATAAATTCGAGTTACCATTAAGCCGAAGTGTATTTTGTTTTGATTGTTTGTTGTACTTTTGTTAACAGATTTGAAAGTGAAGAGACAATAGAATAATGATGACTAAAGATTGAAATTATATTCAGTATAAGCCACTTCATTATAAGGGTTTCAGCACAGCTTTTACAACTCTTCACACCTATTGTTACAATTAACATTAATAATAATAATAATAATATTAACTGGGAGAATAAGTATAACAAAGCAGAGCAGAATAATTGCTACGGGTTGTACTGAACTATACATACATATGCACATACATACAAAGTTAACACGAAATCACAACGAAGTAAAACTGCAAGGTCAAATGCCCTGCAGTGGCACCGGACACCTTTACCCCCCCCCCCTTGATCAATTGCAAACTTCCGATTGTTATAAAAAAAATAAATTCCCGAAAAAACTGCATAAAGTCGCGCACTTGTGGCCTTGTCACGGAATGCTAGTGGGGGGCAGCGGCAGTAGCTCTCGCTGTTAGACCAGCTAAGCAACAATGAAGCGAAGACACAGCCCCCGCGACCGTCGCCACGTACCGGCGACAGCGGCGCCACCTACACGCCCTTGCCGCCAGAGCAACACCCTTCCTTACGACTTCCTCCTTCTTCTTTCAACTGCCTCCTTCCTTGCTCTCACTGGATCTTTTTTTCTCCTTCAGACTTCTTCCTTCGTACTGCCTCCTCCTTTCTTCCTTCTTTCCTCCAACAGGATTCCTTTCCTCTTCTCCCACCATCACTTGCGAATGCGTGACCATCACAACCAAGCTAACGCCGCACTCACGTGTACAACCGCCCCCCCCTCCTCCTCCCTCCCTTCCTCCTTCTCTTTCTTCCTCTCTCCATCCCTCCCTTCCCTCCTCGCTCACTCTCGCCTCCTGTGCCAGGCCGCCATGACAATCACATAGCGGCGTACGTTTAACAAGCGCGCTTTCACAAACACGCACCGTCAGTTAGAATCTACAGCGCAGACAAGCGACATATACATACACATATACGTTATATTATGTTATATTATATACACACGAAGGAGACGACCGCAGCAGAAATGTCGCCGAAAAGCTCCAAGAGACGCAAACACGAGGTGCGGACTCGGCGTCGCCATGGCGACCACAACGTGGGAAAAGCTGCGCGACATCTACGGAGAGCGAAGACAGATGAACGCTGTCTCTCTCGCCAGCGCGCGCGCGTAAAGTTCCCTTATTACTAATTCGTTGGCAGCATAAGTGTAGTAAGTATACAGACTCACGAGCGCGCGATTACATCTAGCGATGCGTCTGCAGTAATTATTCATCGCTGACGCACACACGCGCACACACGCGCACGCACGCACGCGTGGGGTCATGACCTCACTCTGCGCTGGGCGCGCCGACGACAGCCCGCTCGCTGGCGCCACCTACATTCTACAAGGTCTACAGTAGTTGCTATCGCCTACCCGCCTCGCACGGCCAATCACAGCTCATGCAGTGAGGCACTATGACTGTAGTCACTGTACTACCCTGTCACGCCACGCCAAGCGTGCGACGCGGAGAGAGAGGGAGAGGGAGAGAAGCATACAGTACTATATAACTGTACTGTCACTAACCGTCATCGTTGTGCGACTATGTAATGACGACGACGAGGATTTATTACGTCAGCTATGTAATGACGACGACGAGGATTACGTCAGCACGTGCCTTTACAGATCCGTGTCGTTCGTATCATGTCACAAACGTGCACCATGTCAAGATTGTGTTTCGTGTCACGCCACGGTCACGTCGTTGCGTTAAGCTGTAAGCGTAGCATACACGCGGGGGGCGCAGCATCTTGCTCTCCCTTGTTAAGTTATACATACGAATAAATTAATACGTTCCCATGCGCACTTTTGCACGCACACACAAGGCGAGGCTGTCAGGGACTACCTGTCACCCACCTGCTCTTCACATTATCCCTCTCTTATTCTCCCTTCTCCCACTCTCTCTATATCTCTCGCCCCCTTCTCTCATTCTCCTTTCTCCCACTCTCTCTATATCTCCCTCTCACTCTCTCCTTCTCCCTTCTCCCACTCTCTCTATATCTCCCCCTCACTCTCTCCCAGGCTTGTTCATACTAATAAATCACAGTTTGTGTTGCCTCGCATTTCCGCAGCCGTCGCATCTTCGGCGGGTCACCAGAGGGCGCCACTGCGACACCCATCGACGGTCAGTGGCGTCGTATATGCGACGACGCGCTAGAGGGCGCTGATGACGCCGCCGACGCCACTCCGCCGGACGCCTTCTTGTTCTGCTGCCAGAAGCGGTCGTCGATGGTGAGTGCGTCGATCGTTGCCGACAGATGCTTCGAGTGGATCTCCACGAACTGCTTCGCTCCGGACTCGTACTTATAGAAGCGGCTCATCATGGCGTGAGTGATGACACGCGGACCGCTCCCGTAGAGCTTCGTCACGCGGTCTCGCTCCCCGTCATGTGCGTACAGCGAGCGGAACTGGCAGCCGGCGTCGCGGAACAGCACGAGGAAGTGCGTGCGGTCGGAGCGAGCGAGTGTGTCGAGGACGCGGCGCTTCGTGTCGGCGTTGACGGTTCCCGCGAGACAGCGGTGGCTGATCGCGTTCGTCACGATCGTACGGTTAGACTTCCCCGACGGTTTCACAAACAGTTTCGGACCCGAGTAGGGGTCGCCACCGCTGCGGTCGCCACCGGACGACACGTCCGACATCTGGTCCGAGTTTCGCTCGAAGGCGGGCGACGGGCGGCCGTTCCGCCGCGGCGGCCCTCCCCCTCCTCCTCCTCTCCCCCCGACCTCCCCCTCGTCCTCCACCGCCTCCTCCTGGTGGTGGTACATGGATTTGGGTCGCATCGGGGAGGACTGTCTCTCCGTCGTCGTCGCCGCCGCCTTCTCCTGCACCATGGACTTCGGGCGAGCGGGTTTCGGCTTGGGTTTCGAGGCGGCGGAGGAGGAGGTGGAGGAGGAGGAGGCAGGGGGTTCTCCCCCGGGCCCGAGTCCATCCTCGGCGAGCCGGGCCTCCTCCTTGCGTCGCACGTAGTCGTCCCAGATGAGCTGGCGTCGGACGCGCTCCTCCTCCTTCTTGCGGTCGGTTTCCTCTTGCTTCTCCCTCAGCTTCTCCCTCCGCCGCGCGTTCTCCTGCTCGATCTTCGTCCGCCGCTGCTCCTGCTTCTCTTTCCTCTTCAGCGCGCTCAGCATGATGCGCTGCTTCCTCTTCATCATCTCCTCGTCGCTAACCTTCCCCCCTCCTCCTTCTCCGCCGACCTCCCCCTCCTCGCCCTCCTCTCCGAGCACGAACGCGACTCCGGGCGATGCGACCTCGATGCGCGACCCCTCGGTGGCAGCGTCGGGGGAGCGAGGCGACGAGGCGTGCTTGTGTGGCGGGTGAGAGTGCCGCGCAGGGGTGCCACCGCTGCCGGGCGACGGGCGAGTCGTCTCCGTCTTGGCGACAGTCATCGGGGAGATAAACTGAGGAGGCGGCGGCGGAGCGTCGATGTCGCCCTGCGTCTCCGCGGCAACGAGGTCGGGGGTCGCCGTGCCGGACGACGTCTCCGACCCCTCCACTCCTCCTCCTCCGTTCTTCTTCCCCGACGTGGGCTTCTTCTTCACTCGGCTGAGCGGAGGCTTCTTCTTGCGCGGAGTGTCGTCGTCGAACGAGATCACGAACCCGGCGTTGATGTTCTCCTTGAACGACGGTGAGGGCGCCAGTGTCGGCAGCGGCGGAGACTCTGGCGCCACCTGGCGGTCCGAGTACGAGACGATCGGCTCCGACGCCGACGTGTATAGCGGGGACGTGGGCATCGCCGCGGCAACAGGAGGCTGCGGAAGCTCCGGCGACGCCGTCATCTCCTCCTCGACGTTCCGCTCGCGCAGCGGCGATGGAGGCGCCTCCTGGTGGGGTGCCGGGGGGTCGACGCGGGGGCTGCGCTCCATGTCCTGGTCGCTGTGCGCTCGCAGAAGCTGCTGCTGCTGCTGCTGCTGCTGCTGCTGCTGCTCTCCACCCCACTCCCCGCCGCCGCCGCCGCGGTAGTAGCGGTCGGGTGAGCCGCGTAGATTCTCCTGCGAGAGGCTGAGGTGCTGCAGATGCTCCTGGGATCCGTACGTCGCCGGGTACGGCTGGTAACCGTAGCGATGCGCGGGATGCTGCTGCTGAGGATGAGGATGTGGAGGAGGCTGAGGGGGGTACCCGCTGCCGCCTCGGTATACGTAACCACCCGGCGCGGGCGGGTAGTAGGGTTGGTACTGGTCGTGGTAACCAGGGTAGGGAGGCATGCCCGGGTAGGTCTGCTGCTGCTGCTGCTGCTGGGGGTGGTGCGGCGGCGGCGGGGGCAGGGTGCCGTACTGCGGTGAGTAGGTGTACTGCTGGTACGGCGACACGTGCGGCGGCTGCGGCGGCGGCGGCGGCGGGGCGTGGTGCATCACCGGCGGATACTGCTGCATCCCGCTGTGGTGGTACATGACGGGCGGCGGCGGGGCCGGCGCGGCGGCGTCGGGGAGGGAGTGCGACGATCCAACACTCGTCTGCGAGTCTGTCATGGCGGCAGCCTGCTCCTCGGCGACGGTCAGCCTCGCGATCTCCGCCTGCAGCTCGTGCATCTGCGACTCGTAGCGACGCACGGACGCGTGAAGCTGCTCCTCGTCCATCTTCGCCACGGCAACCGCGTCGTTGTCGTCACTCGCCGCTGTGTCGGAGCCGAGCGACTCGCTCAGCCACTTCTGACGGAGGACGTCAAGCTTCTCCTCTATCTCGCGCCGCGTCATCGCCTGCTTCCTCTTGTTCTCCTCCCCCGGAGCGATGACGGAGGAGGTGGCGGCGGCGGAGGAGGGTGGCTTGGTGGAGGCAGGGGGAGGAGAAGACGGAGGAGCAGGCTTGGGTTTCGTCTCCTCGAGCGCCAGGCGTGTCTTGGTTTTCTCCACCCTGCGAGAGAGAGAGAGAAGAGGGAGACATGCGGTTAGCTACGTGTGAGAGTCCACACAAAGCACAGGATGTTCATACATCTACCTTCCCCTCTCTCTCACACTATCTCTCTCTCTCTCTCTCTCTCTCTCTCTCTCTCTCTCTCTCTCTCTCTCTCTCTCTCTCTCTC